TCGTCCGATCTACCGTAGCTCTTGCATTTGAAACGAAAAAAAAGGGAGAAGAGGTGAGAAGCAGGAGAAGAAGCTCGGAGGGAGAAAAGATTGTAAAAATGGGAAGATTTGATGGAGAGAGATGTTGGAATGGGGAAGAAATCAAGATTTGGAGAAAAGAGAAAGAAAGGGGAGAGGATGGGGGAGGGGGGGGGGTGCGTATGTAAAAAGAAAAGAGGGAGGAGAGAGAGGGTGGGGGGGGGGGGGGGAGGAGATGAAAAGTGGGGGAGATGGGAGAAGAAAAGTGGGGAAGGGGGAGGGTTTTTATATGGGGTATGAAAAGCGGTAAATTTGGGGTACCTATAGCAAAATTGTAATCATATAATACACACGTAGATGCGAATAAAGTTAAAAGCCATTATACCTCGGCCCCAAATGTAATGAGGGCTTTTTATTTGTTTTGATTCTTAGAAAAACTTCTTATAATGATGTTATACGATTACCATTATATTTGATATGATGTAAAAATTATATATTAGAGCGTGATTTCTTTTTCCAGAGCATGGGATGTGTTCAATTTAATGGTGGAGTCTTTTGCAGAGTATTTACTCAGTTTGAATATTTGACGAGATCATAAGAATCTTTTGATCATTTTATATAAGGGTTAAGTTGAAGTATGATTTCTTTTTGAGTGATTTTATTTACTCTGTATTGCAATGTTTTAACAACTCGAATTCCAAAAAAAACATGTTTATAACTAAATCGTTAATACATACCAAATATGTCAAGAAACATACTCCGTACATTGCAATTATTTATCTGTTAAAATCATCGTCCATCATCTATTATGTAATTGAATAAAGGAAATTTAATTTCCACTTAAGCCATAAATCACACCATAAAAATATGTCTTTAGGACTTGTTTCCAAGTTATATGAATAACTACCACTACCAGGGAGGTTTTGGTATATCACCAAAGAAAATGTTAAGGACTGGATTTGGAAATCTTTAACTCTTTATTTAACGGATCAATCAAGAGTACACCTAATGCACTTGATTTCCAAGTTCCAACACTAAAGATCAAAAGTGAGAAAACATAGATGATTTCTTAAAGGTAATATATGGAGTAGTATATAGTCATAATTAAAGCCAACATATAAAAATCATCAAAAGTTTCTGTGCTCGCCACAAATTAAATACATTTACTTTAATATCAAACGTTTAACATGTGAATGGAAAAGTTACATTTAAATAGCACATGAACTCTGTACAAGTGAAAGAAAATTATATAAAAAAAGACACCTATGGGAAGTTTTAGCACTTCAAAAACTTCTGCTATACATCTCTCATTTTGACTAGAGATGTGAAGACTCTTCTCTTCATTAAGTAGAACTTCATTTTCGCTTGTTCAACATTAGCCCCACATAATGGCCCCCATGTATGAGTACCATTTAGATTATCAGTGGAAGTTGTCAATGATGCATGATCAGTTGTTGTTCAAAAGCTTCTGCAAATGACAAAACCAATTAACCATTAATAGTAGCATGAGAGTACACTCACAACACAGTTCAAGCATCTACCAGCAGGCCCTAAAAGTAATATTGCCCTACTAGCATATATATAGATATATGGGAGATCTCAAATGTGTCGAGACACATCTATGTGGTTCAAATGAATATATATTGCAGTGTTGAACTCATCAGTGACTCCCTCAACCTTTCACTGTAATTTTCTTTCACTTGTATAAGAGTTCACAATCAACATTTCAACACAACCACCACAACTTAGTTATAAATAAAGAAGTTCTAAAAGATAAGTGCAAACACAATCTCACTGAAATGCACTTGATGTTTGCTAATTCGATTTAAGACATGAACTCAATCACTAAGCCCTGGTGCTAGAGCTGATTTTGATAGGAGAAGTCGTCCCAGGTTTATATTTGTTTTTATTTTTATATTTAGCTAGTTGAAAGGACTAAACCCATATGAACAACTTTTAATGTTTTTTATTTCATTTCGGGTAACCAATCGACGCTCCTATTAAACTCGTCCGAGTCAAACTTCTAGAGCTTTTTGAACACCAGTCTTCCATTCCTTTCAAATGATACATCTCATTTACATTTCATAGGTTGATTCAACTCTCTCTTAATTTCAAATTTTATGCAATAACATTCTGATTTTTGTAGAAAAATTGGCCTACCATTTTTATATATGAACTATAAAAACGCTATGGCTAAGAAAAAATTGCAACCATAACTTGCCTTTTTTGCAGAAAAAAATCTGCTGAAATGCAAGAAGAAACCCAAATATGAAGATATTATCTACAATGGATGTAGACAAGATCTGAACCTATTACTATAAATCCTTCTTTTATGTTTACTTGCTCCTTTTCATTGCATTTACGAATAAAAGTGTAGCGAAGGAATATATCATTAGAGGATGCTCCAAAATACATGTATTGCTATTGTTGTCTTCATTTATGATGGGGTATCTTATGTACAAGTTTGCTCAAGTAGGGAAGTACAATAACCTTGGACTTTTCTATATTAATGGAGTTCACACATTGCTATATATACTTAAAATTTATGTCTCACTTCAAATGTATAGCTAAATGCTACTGCCAGCAATATGCCATCTTGGTTGAATTACAAGGCAAGGCTGCAATGCTTGCAGGGTGTTAAGTGCACTGCAGGTAGGGTTAATAATGAATATAAGGATGATGTTATTGTATGCTCATAATAAAAACACTAAAACCAGACTTTAACTACATACCTGAAATAACCTGCATTGACTGGGTAAGATTCCATATACCTGCATGAATGTCAATTTACAGCTATTGACAATTTCAGAAAAAGGTTCCTATTTGAAAATCCTTTTCCATAGTTCCATGAACCCCCTAGGCACAACTCTCTATTAACACCCACCAGCAATAACACCAGATCGATGAGTCCATTGAAAATGAAGAGAAAGAACCCACCGCACCACGTTCACAAATCTTGCCCAGACCAAACAGAGGACAACATCAGTTAATAATCCTAAATGAAAATGTGTGTTAATAATTTCAACAGACAAAAATTAGCCCAATATGATGTATTTTAAGGAAGCAAAAATGTAAATTAAAATAGAAGCTTACGGAGTTCAGTTGGGATAAGGTTGGCAAAGGCGACGAGATTTTGCAGATGCGTAGGAGGCCATTGAAAGAGTTGAATGAGACAGAGATAAGGATGAGAACGCCGGAAGGGGAACCAGACATGTCTTTAGGACAGAGTTACAAATATCACGTAATCCAGGGATTACTTTTGCAATTTCGGAATTCTTTCTATAAACAGCTGATGTGGAATAGATATCAAATAATATTCAGCCATGTGTTGAATGCACCAAAACATACTCCAATATCAATGCACAGAAGAGCTCCCCTATTCTCTTATCTCACTTTGACTATAATTTTCTAATAATATATATAATCAAACTATTATGTATAAAACATTATTAATTTTCTATAGAGTTATGTTAGCACCATGAGCATATAATATTTATCATAAATTATATGACCATAAATTTTAAATTAATATATGACCATGGTGTTAAAATAACTTTTTGTATAAAGTTTGAAATATTTAAATTACACATGCAAGATTGGGGTATAGCACCGCTTTCTCTAATTTTATCATCTTTTTATTTATCCTATTCGAATTCTATCCTTTAGATTACACCTTGAAATTAATTAAATTTATAAATTTTATCATAATTGAAAATGTTTGTCTAACAAAATCAACAAGATATAGCACTCAATAGAAAACAATCAACAATTAAGAAGTCAAATAATCAACTATGAATGGAATCAATTAATGAACTAATCAAATAATTCGTATCAGACTAATATGCTTTCGAGTGGAATTTTTTAATGAAATTTATGAAAATATTTTTCTTCAAGTGTAGATAATGTCCATAAAATTTCAGCTTAAAATTCATTCTTTAAGTCAGTTAAATAAATTATTGAAAAATATTGCACCGAAATATGTATAAAAAGGTAGTGTTTTCATTAATTGATTTACCTAACTCCTAATTAAACTTTAAAAAATGATTTTCTACATAATCCACACTTCATAGAGAAGATGATTGTAAGTTTTCATTAAAAAATCCATTCCAAAGAACTTCAACAAATTCAACCCGAAAATTGGTACTTTAAGGCTGAAAAATCAGCCTACTCACACCTATTACAAGGAACTAAACTCGAGCCTATTTTTTACTCATTCTTTCGGGGCCTAGGGAGGTCACCCCTTTCCCGATAGGGCCGCCTCTGATTGAGGTGGGGCCTGTGCACTTACACTCTTTGCACGTGGGCCAGGTCGAGCATGCGTACATGAGCTCGTTTGATAGTTTACATATAAAAAGTTTACATGCAAAGTAATTGCTTGTAAAGTACTGTATAATGAAACAATCTGATGGAGTATATGACCCAGGGACCCCATGCCCACATACTTCCACTACTGCAATCAGGCCCAACAGGCCCAAGCGGGCCAAACCCAGCAAGACAAAGCTCTAAGCGGCCCACCATACGCACATGGGAGTGTCTTCGGCAACACGGCCGAAGGCTACCGTTTACAGATTTGAGCTCGGAAACATCACAGGAAGTAAGGCTTGATAACCAAGCCTTCGGCAATTAGAGCCCTCGGCACTATAAGGCCCCCGGTACGAAAAGCCTTCGGGTTGTCACCTACAGCGAAGGCATCCTTCTCGACAGGATCTCCCATCCACATGCGCTGGATCAACGTATCAAGTACAAACGTCGCATCCAACCACCGCATTTAATGCGGCCACAAGCGAGTGCCAGCGCCACCCCGTTTGAGGTGACCCCTCGACCACCAGAATGCTGACACGTGTCCCTGTCTAGCATTTATTGCTGCTATAAATAGTAGCCCGTTTCCCCATTGTAAAACACAACAAGATCACATAATCGAATATTTTCTCTCTTTTATTTATTTGCTCTGACTTCTCTCTAATTACTCCCCGCAGTAACCCCTCGGATAAGCTACTCCGGGTACACTATCCATCACAATCACTTAAAAGAAATGCAGAATATTTTAACATCCTCCTAACACGTAAAGTAGAATTTTTTAAAATCATCCTACAATTATTTAAAAAGTCCTACTCTGTACAATTTACTTAATATGGAGTAATTTACTTGGTGTGTTATGTGGTGTATCCACCCCTTTTCAAGTCAATCAAGTGTGAGGACTTCTATTAGATTATGAAAGACTTCGAATGAATTAGTACTGCTTTTAGGAAACGGATTACTTTCGCTTAATAAAAAAACATTTAATTTGGTCCGGGCCGAGGAAACACAAATTAAATTAACAACAAAAAACACTCTTTACGCTTATTTAATTATTAAGTGGAAAAAACAAGTTGGTGTTTATCATAAAAGCACTTTAAGTGCTTGAATGAAAGAACACTTATGACAAAACAAGCTCTAATAATACAATAAGCTACTCCAGATACACTCTTAATTGACTATAGAAATATTTGGAGTGGTAGTAGATTTATGATCAAAAGAACGATTTCCCTCCATCAATTCTTGCCACCGAGGATACCCTTGAGCTTCTTGATTTGAGTAACATCAATGAAAGTAACAGCATTCACGGTTTCTGTCGGCAAATCATTCATAAACAAAGCGAAACTTGTGATTTGAAGGCCTGGGTTTGGGGCACTGAAGGCAGCTACGGCCACAGCTTCAGTTTTCCCAGAGTTTATTTGGAAATGAAGTAATCCCATAGGGAAAACCATGACATCCCCCGTGTGAAGCTGTTTGAAGTATACCTTGTTCTCAAGGGCCGATACGAATCCGGCACAGATTGACCCTTTAGTGACCATGAGGATCTCCGACCCTCCGGGATGCGTGTGGAGGGGAATGACACCGCCTACGGCCAAATCAAGTCGGGCCATAGACAGCCCTAGACCGTTGACGCCCGGAAATTGAACGTCAAAGGCTGGGGTGACTGCGGCTTTGATGATGTTAGTGGTGTTTCCGGCCGCTGCTAGGCCGGAGTAAACGAAGTCATTGATGCCCACCGATTTCTTGCAAGGGAAGCCCGCCGGTCCCGGGGGCAATGACAGGTCCCCCACACAAAAATCTAAGGCTCGGGAGGAGGGAAAGAAGAAGGAGATGAATAAAAGGATGTGCATGAACATTGTGTGTTTTGAATAAGAGGTTTATGCATGGATAAGTATATATAGGGAGTAGGAACCGTTCATGGATGCATGGGTACTTGGGTAGTGGGCTTCGCGTTGTGAGGGCCCGCCTGAGCCATGCAATAATCAATAATGTTAAGTCACAACTCCGGTACCCATTTAAAAATTGGGGGTACCGTACATATCTATCACTTTATTGGTCCAAATCATTATATCATTTTAATTTAGATTTAAATAATTCAACTGCATCATTCTGATTGATCCATGTGGACAAAGGTATGGTACGTACCTTAAGGATACCATAGAATCTACCATAATGTTATTACGTACACATTTGGCCTCGTATGTGGTATATGAAAGACCGAAAAAATTACTTACCTATCAAGTTTTCACTATCTCTCTCAGTTTCAATCAACTTTGTTATATTTTTCCCACACAATCTCGAGTAGAAGTAGAATGTCCCAAATTTAAAATTGTATTGAACATTATTGATATTGCAAATTATCAAATAAGAAAATGTGGAAATGTTTGATACACAAATTTTACTTGGTGATTTTTTATGTCTTCACATCTCCCATAAATGTCACATGTGCGTGTGTAAATTGTGCATTTGTGAATCTTATTGCAAAGTTGTTTTTGAAGTAATGCAATAATACATGCATTGTTCATACATATGCCACCAACTTTGGTAGTTTAACCATCGGGTTAAAAAAATGTGGTAAGAAAGAGATACGAGTGAATTTAAAATTAAGTGTACTATTATACATTTCATTATGTTCTTGGTAATTGTTTAGTATATGGAGTATCAAGCTTAATTATTAGAACTCGTTTGATAACACTAAAATTTGCTGAATCTAGTAAACTTGGTGAAATTTGTTTTGCACCCGCAGAATCACCTGAATTTGCTGAGTTATGAATGAATTATATTTAAAATACTGTATTTTCTAACAATAAAACAAAGAAAAACTTATGTAAAACTAAAATAGACATCAACAAAATGAGCTAAAATAGTTACAAATTATAAAACTCCAACATTAATTATTTTGGTTATTACGCAATTCAGTATGCAAGATTTAAAAGACAGTATGATATAACAGTTGGTCGATGAGACTGGTAAGCTGAAAAAAGGATTAACAAATTGTTCTTAATTACAATAAGACACTGTTTTTTACATGATAAAGTTCCAAACTATAATCAATAAGACTGGTAAGCTGAAAAAAGGATTAACAATATATATATAAGAGCAACTTTTTAAGAGTATACAAAGCGCCACATAATCCTGTCATGTCATTATGTATAACAATTATTTACTTATTTTTATACCTTTTGTTTTTATTAGATTCTATTTTTGATTGCATATTGATATGGAAACAAAAATCCTTATAAATCCACCTTAATTAATTTGGTAAGCTTCAAATAAGTAAAATAATTTTTGGTTATGAAAGTGAAATTCTAATTACGTTTATTGATATGGAAACTAATTTATATTAGTTTACTACACCGAATTAAATAGAAACAAATATGCAAATTGGTTTACTTATTAATTTGACACCTATTAATAAATTATTAGTAAGCTTCAAATAAGTAAATAATTAAAAATGAAATTAAAAATTATAACCAACATAAAGTATATATATTTTCACAAGTAAATATGTTTAGCTTAGCCAAATAAGTAAATTTTTTGGTTGTTTCTTTATTTTACACCTAAAATTCAAATATGCCTTCACTTTTGAAATAGATTCCTAATCCAAATTAGAAAATCTTTATAGGTTTACGAATTCCTACTTTTGATTTAATAGAATGTTTTTAATTGGATTGATTTCAGTTCCAGATTAAATCAGAGCAGATCAAACTTTAATAATTATAACAATAAGTCACATACAAAACAGACATCGAATAGACCATATTAATTCATACCAAATCAAACCCGAAATTTTAATTCAATTAAAAACGTTCTTATTAATGAGTAAACTGTAAGATCTAACAATTAAGAAATATAGGTTTTTTTTTATTATTGGGTTCATAACAATTATGTTTACTTGAGATGCTTATGTAAAAGACCAATTTAACTTTTTTTTCATATTTTTTTTTCTTTGTTTCACAAATGGAAAACATTTCACATATATTTTTCATGATTCAGAAGATTTCACCTATTTAACCAGAATTCAATCAATTTCAGCAAAATAAGTTAATTCTATTTACTTTAGTATTATCAAACAGATTCTATATTAGACTAAGTTTATTTTTCTTTTAAATCACATTATATGTGATTCGATAGAAATTAAATTTCAAATTAGCTAAATTACATACTGAAAGCTCGTACTGCGTATAGAGAAATTCTGAAAGTAAGAGTATCTTCAATGCTAAAACGTTAACGGTGCATACGTGGCATGCGAGATAACCAATGAAAAAAGAATAAATAGAATATCTCTCTCCTTATTAGAAGAATCTTATATCATTTTGGTAAGTTTTTCTTCACAATGTCAAATACAATGTCTAGATGTTGACATTGTGGTTGACATTGCAGGGAAAAACTTACCAAAAACACATAAGACCCTGGAAAGACGGAGAAAGAAATGTCATTAAATCAATCTTTTGTATCTATCTCTCTCATGTCAATGTGCACCGTGCACATTGTAGCATTGGAGATGCTCTAAGAGAAATCAAAGCTTACATTAAATAAATTTTATGTGTCTAATATTTCCTTTCAAGTATAGCTAGGTTTGTTGATAGAAGCTTTTGATATTATATACTTTTATATTTTCGGTGTAACATTTATTTCTTATATGTATATGTGTGTGTCGATATAGACACGCAAGGAAAGTAAATTTAAAAGATGTTGGTCCGTGAAAAAATACTTCACACTTGCCGAGACACAACTTTGACCATTAATATAAATGATTTTGTATTAGTAAAAAAATTAAAAAATTAGATTATGAAAATTTACAATGAGACAAGTTTAACAATATTTTTTTCATAAAATAATATTATTACATTAATAAATAAAACGTAGTCAAAGTAGAACATGTGAATAGTGTAAAAGTCAAAGTGTTGCATTTATTTAAGAACGGAGGTAGTATTTTTTTTTTGTATGCATTAGGGATCTAGCCAGGTAGATTTCAATTGCACAATAAGACAATTTGTCACCCAAATTAAAATGTGTCCTTGGAAGAAAAATGTGTGGATGCTTAGTAGTTCCCCTTCAGGAACGGCAATATTATTTGGCTCACTTTCTTAAATGCAATTTTCAGTACGAAAATGATTATTAGATTAGATTATTAAATTTATAGTACGATTGGTTAAACTTTTTTTGTTATTTATCAGGCTTATCAAACAATTTTTTAAACAAACACGTAATTTTTGATTTCGCACGTTGGATAGTGTAATAATAAAAAAAGTAAAGTTGAAGTTACTTTTCTGATTGTTTTGGCGGAAGTAACTGTATATAATTATTTTAGCTATTTTTTCATATAATTTTTTATTTAATTTAATAATAAAATATATTTTAAATATAATTTTGTTCTTTTTTTAAATGGATATAATTTCTTTCTTAAATAACCAGAATCGATCGATACAACCATTTCAATCATAATTTCATAAATGATACTCCCTCCGTCGCATAAAATAAGTCCCATTTTCCTTTTTTGGTCGTCCCAAAAAATTGTTCCCATTTCCCTTTTTGGAAAGTTTTGTGTGGCTAACATTCATTTACCTTTTTCTTACTCAATCACAACCATACATTTCCACTTTATTCCCACTTTCTTAAACTCCGATCCAAGTCAAAGTGGGACTAATTTTCCGGGACGGAGGGAGTACACATGATCAAATTCGTACTATCTTAAATGGTCAGCCACACATGCCAAGTTGACCTTATATATGGTGACGTGAACTTCGTTCCCATCAATGATCAATCACGACATATCAAAAGATGATCGATCTCTTCCTCATCAATTAACCTTCCGTTCAGGGAATCTGTGATACTCTAAATTGCACCATAATTATACTCCATCCGTCCTGGAATTATCTTCATTCTTTCATTTTCTGTCCGTCCCAAATTTATCTCCTTTTTCCCTTTTTGGTAAAGAATATGTGGTTCACAACCATTCTTACACATTTCTCTCTCCTCTGCATAACTCTCCACCACACAAATCTCACTATCTTAAAACTCGTGCCCGGTCAAAACCGGAGTTAAATATGGGACGGAGGGAGTATTAGATTTAAACATTAGGAAGTGGGTTAAATATAAATATTAAAAAATTTACACTAAAAACTTGAAAAAAATTAAATTGTCCTGCGTTTCAGCTCACCATAGCTCATACATATATAGTAACATAGATCCTCCCTTGAATCTGAACAAGTAACCCAATCAAATTAAAACAACCGGCCACCATCCACTATGGATGAAAAACCTCCGACTGAAAAGGAGTTGATGTTACTCCGTATTGGTTAACAGAACCGTCTAATAAATTTAGAGCCCCCATATGAACAAAAATGATAAATATATACAAAGTTCAACACCAAAATTAATTGTGCCCAAATGTTCGTATAGAAAAATGCATGATTTAAAATAACTAAATATAATAATTATTATTATGTAATCATTTGAATAAAGTTTCCCTCCTTACCGTATTTGAAGCAAAATCATCTATCAAGTCCTTGTACTCGATCTACTCCAAATAGTTATTCACAATGCCTATCATTGCCAAACTGTTGAGTCTCTATTTGGCATTGTAGACCGCAAATAAGATTTCAACAATTTAAAGCTTGGAGATTTTTTTTTTCTGCACGTGCCACGATCATTGGGATAGTCAACATTATAGCGGACAGCGATATCTTGATTGCCTGATCAGTGATTAGTTACCCGACTAACAAGAGAACTTGTTGCAGGAAACAAGGAGTTGCCCGCTCGCGTAGTCACTGCTAGAAATGAGGAGTTGCGCACTGCGCACTTGCGCCGCACACGTAAGTCACGTGTCTTGTTTTAGC